CCCAGCACCACAACACGTGCCAGGGAAGCCAAACCGGTGCTCCGTCCCTTCCCGACACCCCTGCCACTGCCACGAGGGGCCACGCCGGTATCACCTGGCCACGCGCCACGCCGTGTCCGCCCCACGCTGCGTGGGGCAAACTCCAGCGAGGAACACAGGCAGGGCAAGTCACCCTGGTCTCGTGCCAGGGCCTTCGCCACCAGCGTGCTGTGTTCGTTATTCGATGGTGGGAACACCTACGTGGTGACGGAGCCGGCAGGAACCCAAGAGTCATCCCGTCGTGCAGAGCGGGGCTCGTGCTCCCTGCGGTACGAGCTCCTGCCTCTCCCCATCAGCTGGTTTCACGCAGGTACACCCACGGCGCTCAACAGCCGTCGGGATCCCGGACTCTGATCCGGGCAGAACTAACACCCCTGCGGCTGACCTGCCGAATCCAACCCGAACGAGACCCCGCTGAGGGGTCAGCCGCTGCCGAAGGATGAGCTGCCAGAGGGATGCCTGAGGTTTATTCTGCAGAGCATTTATTCAAGGGACTGTCACATGGCCTGACTTAAAAAAACAACAAAGCGTCGTGGGAAAACCCCGTGCGAGCTACAAGAACATACCTTCTAGGGGCTGGGCTTTGTGGGAACGCGTCCCGTACGATCTTTGAAACCATCCAGCTCTGGCAGGACAGTTGCCTACAACACTCCCTCTGTCCCGGCTCGGGGGAAGGCTCGTAAGGGATCCCGAATCCTGGCTGCGGTTAAGGTGAGCAACCTGTCAGCCTCAATCACCAGCGACCACCCCACACTGAGAGGTGGACGCAACCTTTCCAGACGTCCAGCCAGCTGCTGGTTCCAGGATATCCACCTCCTGAAGCCATCAGCTTTACATCCTGGACTCCCAGGTTCCCCCAGCACAGCCCCGCTCTTCTGTCTAAACGCTCACAGGAGATCCGTTCCCAAAACGTTAAAAACTCAAAACCCTGCCACCAAAAACCCTGAACACACGGACCTCACGCCCACAGAGGAGCCAACAAGCAGCTTCTATCCAACTGCACACAAACACACCGGGAATCCCCTGGAGCTGTGCGATTGCCCTTCTCCTTCGCACCCTGTCCAAACCAAACCAGCAGCTCCAGGGCTGCACCTTCGGCGAGTTGCTGGAACGTCTCCTCTACTGCCGGAGGGGTTTTAAACGCAGCTTTAAGCCAAAAGAGAACGTTTTGGTGTACCCCGTGAGAGGGGTTGAAAACTGTCAACGGGGAACTCCCACAGGAAGGCTGCGTGTCCCAGGAGGCTCTTTGACAGTGGCGCCAAGTCCATGTCTGAGGTTCACTCCAGCCCGGGGAAAGTCGCTCCAGCAGCAGTAAATGTGAAAAATCAGGGCCCGTGCTGCTAGTCTGAGGTCGAGAAGCTCCAACTTCCGGCTTTTGCTGATGCTGCTTCTGCTGAACTAAAGCACCACCAGAAATACCGATTTACGGGCACACCACTGTCCCCGATCCCTTTTGTAGCCATCGGAAATGAACGGACACGTTCTTTCCTTGTTAATGAAGGAGTTCCGAGGGCAGTACCAACTCCTGGCGTGCCACAGACCTCTCGCTCACGAGCGTTTTGCACCAGTGCTCCAGATCCATGGCTCCCCCGCCGAGCCCCACGCCTACATAGACCTTCTCTGAGGATCCTGGGGTTCCATTCCTTCCCTCCAGCCCTCCGTGACCCTACAACCCCCATCTACAGGTTCCTCGATCCAGGAAGGGAATTTTTACTGGTGTGACCTCCCAGAGATTTCACCTGTACAAAGCGGGTACGGCTTTTACGCACACGCCCTTCACCAAACAGCGGGAAGGAAGGAACACCCTGAAGGCAAACAGAAAACAGGTCTCACGCATGGCAGGTGTTGACGGAAAGCCCAGCAAGATGGGAAAGGGACAACAGGGCACGGAGCGTCATGGCGAAAGGCAAAGGGGCAGCAGCCGTTTCCTCCTCAACGCTACGCTCCGGGCTTGGCTGGCAGGAAGCACAGCAGGTCACAGCCCACGTCCGAGGGGCCAGAGCCTTGGTTCGACTTGGGGAGGGGCCAAGAGCGGTACCCGCCGTAGGACCTGCGCTCCTGCCTGCTCTCTTCCCACGGAAGAGATGGGACGCCTGGGCAAGACAATGGCTCCTGGCAGGAGCAGGACGGGCCTGTGCCAGCCGTGTGCGAAGCCACCAACCTGAATGCGCCCCAACCCGATATTCCAGCCCGCTGTGAAGATTCCTAAGAGAACAAATGAATGAAACAGGGATGGAAATGGGCGGAAGCACCAAAAGGCACAACAGGAAAGAAAGGCTGAAAGAATGGCCTGTCCCTGATAGTAACCAGCACGCTCCCAGAACAGCGCTCCCAGCAGAAAATTTGAGGAATGTGTGCTTCCACCGAAATCGGAAGGCTGTGCTGTAAGACAACTCACTGAGGACCCTCCACCCTCACACCGCAAGGACAGCACCACGGGGTGGCCCAGCACATCTATTTCCAACGTATTCCAGCCAAGGGAAAAGGACAGTGCGCGGCAGCCCACACCTTGAGATTCACGAAGGCTCAGCTCAGCCAGATGCTGAGGCGAAGGGCCGCTCCGAACGGCTACAGGATAGGAAAGACCTGGTCAAAAATTAGTGTATCATCACCAGTGACACAGCGAGGACTTAACAGCTGGCGTCCCATCCTCGGCATCACACGCAACCATCCTTCCCAGAGCACCTGGACACACAGCACTCCGCGTGCGAGCAGGTGTCCGATGGCGCAGCAGCGGCCCGCTCACAGGTTTCACACAAGGAGGCCACCTCGCCCTTTTTAACGCTGTTTTTCCACCGGTGCCGGCTCAATCGGATGACCTGTGGGACTCGGGAGGAAATTCGGAGATGCGGGACAGACTTACTGGCTACCAGGAGCTGGACCCTGTGCTCATGGTCCGTCTTGTTCAGCACTTCCCTGCAGGTGTAGTTGCCTTCGTCCTGCACACGCAGCTCCGTGATGTGCAGAGACCTGTTGTCAACCAGGGAGAAACGGACGTCCGGGGGGAAGGCGACC